GTGGGGCCATCGTAATGCCGTTTTAATTTTCATGGAAGAGAATTAGAAAGCACACATATAGTCCTCCTTAACATATTAGAAAAGGGAATGAAGAAATGTATATTTATTGAGTTCAAAGCCCTTGCCAAGCTATAGGCAAGAACATTTCACATAGACTAGAAGCAATGTGACATGGTTGAAATAGCCAGATCTTATGTCTAAATGATCTCAGTTTGAAATTCAATTGCACTTCTAACCAGCTGTAGACTTTTGAAACCTTACTTAACTTCTCTGAGGCTGTGTGACTAACTTGTGAAAGGAAAAATAATAACATAGCCCTCAGTGGATATTTTAGAGCACTAATGACATATATAAAAGTTAAAAATATAGAAGAAGGCAAAAGTATAATAATAGAGAATCAGTAGCTCTATTGTCCAACACTCCTTATAATAAGAATGTGAAGTAATTTTATTGAACACGTTTTGAAGATAAAAATTATATAATCCCAAAAATGTAAACATTTTCTAATATTAAATTTCGAATATTAACATGGGGTCAATTGCATGGTTACAATTAAATCTCAGGGACTTCCACGTCTAGCCATGTAAGAAAAACAAGTCAAAAACTTTTCTTTTGGCATGCGTTTCAAGAACACTAGACACAATATTGTGAGGGGAAATGTGGCCAGACATGGAAAAAGAAAGTTGTTGAAGACTAGATGAAAGTGCGGGACCATTATCCCTGGAGAAGAGAAGTAAACAACGCAAACCCCATAGTTGCCTCACCTTCCTTCCAGGAAGGAATGTTTGGTAAAGCAGAGCACAGGGGTCTCACCAAGATGAGTAACAGATCAGAGTGTGGGAGAAGGATGCTAGTATTCCTGGCACAAAATAGCATTTTAGAAGAAGCTGTATAGATAAAGAGCTCCAGAAATAGACATGAATGTCACCTGAGTCTTTGGCAGGGCATTAAGTTGTCCACTTGTAGAGTGAGACTTCCTTAAACCTGAGCAAAAGGCACCCTGCAGAGCTATAGGCAGAGCTCCAGAGGGGCACACCTCAAAGAAGAATAAAGTAGGCCTGGAGTAAGGTTCTGCTAGGGGGAAGAAAAAAGCTTTAAAAAAGCCAAAGACTTAAAAAACATTCTGTGGCTAACTTAACTGAACTCCAAAACTGTACTCAATACTCTTTATGTGAAGGTAACAAAACACTGACATTCAGATTTTAAAACTCACAATGTAAAAGAGCTAGACATAAAAGCATCAGCAATGTGATTCATACAAAGACAACTCATTTAATAAACACACATTCAATAATGATAGAGATAATACAATTAGCAGACAAGGTCTGCAGAAGAGCTATAAAATGTTTGGCAAGGATTAAAAAAATATTAACACAATGAGGAGAGAAGTGGAGGATCTGAAAAATAATCCCAACAACTTATCAGTTAAAAAATCAGATATAAAACATTCTATAGATGATAGTAATAGTAGATTAGATAGTAGCAGAAAATCAGGGAACTTGAAGACACAGGAATAGAAATTACCCAAACTGAAGAACAAAGAGGGAAAGTATCTGGGAAAAAAATGGATCTTCACTGATGTCAGGAAACTCATTGAGCAGTATTTGGAATCCCAAAATGGAGAGAATAAAGAAGTGAGGTAAAAAGCCATGAATAAATAATGACCAAAAACATTCCAAATTTCATAAAAACTATAAACCCACAGATCCAATCATCTCAATGTAGCCTGAACAAAATAAACATTGAAAGATACACCAAAGAACCTCACAATCAAATTGCTGCTGAAAACAATAGATAAAAAAATTTTTTTAAAGCAGACAGAGACATTAAAATACATTAGGTGGAAAGCAGCAAATCAAAATTAGTGCTGCCTTCTCACTCAAAAAACAATGCAATTTGGTGAACCCGGGAGATGTTAAAAATAATAAATGAATTAGTGATAAGTATAGTAAAAATAATAATAGGAATAATAGCAAACTTAGACACTATAAAAACTATGCCAAAATAATTTTCAGATAAAAGCTTAGAGCTTTTATTGGCCACTCGCTTGCACTAGAAAAAATATTAAAATAGATTCCTAAGGCAGAAGAAAAATGACACCAAATGGAATTATTATCTATACCAACACAGAAATCATAAGTAGCAAACATGTATGTGAATAGAAGACATGTTTTACTCACTTCTAACTTTTTAATTGACTAAAGCAGTATGAATGTTGCATTGACCGGTTATTATATATGTAGAAATGAATACGATAATATTGTAAAAGCTGAGAAAAATAAATGAAATTATACTTTTGTATAGTCTAACCCTATACGTAAAATAGAATTTTATTTTTTGAAGGTAGCCTGTGAAGAGTTAAGAAAGCATACTATAAATTTGAGACAACAATTGAAACGTAAAATAAAAAGATGCAGAGCTATTAAGCATGAAAAATCAGTAATATAAAATAATAAAACAAATAAGAAATAAATCATCCCAAAAGAATTACAGAAATGATAAAAAGGAGAATCAAGACAAAATTGGCCAAATAAAGAAAAAAAAATTAAGATAAGAGATTTAAACACGAACTTCTCTATAATTACATAAGATGTACATAGTCTAAGTATCTAAATACAAAAATTTAAGAGAAAGATTATGTCAGGCAGGATAAAAGAGTAAAACCAAACTCGAACCTGTCTAAAAAAATGTGTTTTAAATAGAAAGACATAGCTTAAAAGTAAAAGGACAAAATAAGATATTCCATATAAATACTAGCATTACTTTCTCTGTTATTATTGTAAGGCATCCAAATCATAAAGGAGGAAATAAAAATGTCTCTGTTTGCAGACAACATGATCTTACATATAAAAAAACTCTAAGGGCTCTTTAAAAATACCCTTCTTGGCTGGGTGTGGTGGCTCATGCCTGTAATCTCAGCATTTGGGGAGGTCAAGATTGGAGGATACGTTAGGCCAGGAGTTCAAACCAGCCTGGGCAACATAGTGAGACCTCTTTTCTACAAAAAAGAAAAAATAATAACTGGGTATGGTGGCATGCCCCTGTAGTCTCAGCTGTAGTTACTCAGGAGGCTGGGATGGGAAGATTGCTTGAGCCTGGGAGGTGGAGGCTGTGGAGAGCCATGATAGCACCAGTGCACTCCAGCCTGAGTGACAGAGTGAAACCCTGTCTCTAACACACACACACACACACACACACACCCCCCACTCACTAGAATTAAGACATGAATTCAGTAAAGTTACAAAATACAAAATCAATATATAAAAATCAATTGTGTTTCTATATGCTAACAACAAAGCATCCAGAAAAGAAAATTAAGAAAACAATCCCATTTACAGTACAATCAAAAAAAGAATACCTAGAAATAAACTTAACCAAAGACATGAAAGACTTGTACACTGAACACTACAAAACATTGATTAAGGAAATTAAAGGAGACATAAATAAATAGAAATAAATTTTGTGTTCATAGATTGGAAGACTGATATATTGTAAAAATGTTCATACTTTCCAAAGTAATCATCAGATTCAACACTATCCCCATCAAAATCCCAATGACATTTGTTTTATAAAAATAGAAAAAACAATCCTAAAATTTATATAAAAATATAAAAGATCCCAGATAGCCTAAGCAATCTTGAGAAAGAAGAATAAATCTGGAAAAATCACACTTCTTACTTCAAAATACATTACAGAGCTACATCGATTAAGATATTATGGTACTGACATAAAGACAGTCATGTAGACCAAAGGAACAAAGTGAAGAGCCCCAAAACAGCTCCACACATACAAGATCTTTGACATGGGTGACAAGACTACACAATGGACAAAGGATAGTCTCTTCCACAAATGATGCTGGGAAAACTCGATATTCACTTGCAAAAAAAAGAAAAAAGAAAGAAAGAAAAGAAAGAAATTGGACCTCTACCTTAAAGCATACAGAAAAATCAAGTAAAATTATATTAAAATTTTAAAAAGACTTAAACATAAGACCTAAAAATGTAAAACTCTTAGAAGAAACAGAAGGAATAACTTTGTGGCATTGGTCTTTACAATGATTTCTTGGAATTATGCCAAAAGAACAGGCAACCAAATATATATATATATATATATACAAGTTGAAATACATCAAACTAAAAACTATCTGCATAGCAAGCAACAGAATGAAAAGGCAACCTAGGACATAGAAACCAACATTTGTAAACCATATATTTAATAATTGGTACATTTCCAAAATATATAAGAAACTCCTACATCTTAATAGCAACAATAAAATAAAAATAAAATAAGATAATCTAACTAAAAAATGGGAATAAGACTTAAACTGATGTTTCCCCAAAGAAGACATAAAAATGTCCAACAGATATATGAAAAGTGCTCAACGTCATTAATTATCAAGAAAAGGCAAATTAAAACTGCAATGAGATATCACTTTACACCTGTTAGAATGGCTATTACAAAACAAAACAAAACAAAACAAAAGATATCAAGTGTTAGTGAGGATATGGAAAAATTGGAATCCTGGTACCCATTTGGTAAGAGTGCAGAATGGTGTAGCAGCTGTGGAAAACTGCATGGAGATTACTACAAATAAAAAATAAAAATAGGACCACCCTGTGATCCAGAAATCTCACTTCTGGGTATCTGAAAGACTGAAATCCGTATTTGAAGGGATCTCTGTATTTTTATGATCATTGCCGCACTATTCACAACTGTAAAGACATGGATGACACCTAAATGTCCATCTGCAGATGAATGGATAAACAGTAGTATTTCATGGTATATCATGGTTCATCTGTCAATGGACATTTGATGGATATTTATATGTACCATGAAATACTCTTCAGCCTTCTTAAAAAGGAAATGTTGCCATTTGTAACAACATGGATGAACCTGGAAGGCATTATACTAAGTGAAATAAGCCAGGCACAAACACTGCATCATTCCCCTTATATGAGTTACCTAAAATAATTTTCCTGGTTGCCAGGAGCTGGGAGGTAGGGAAAATAGGTAGCTGTTCAATGTGTGTAAAGTTTCAGGTATGCTAGATGAATAAGCCCTGGAGATCTTTTGTACAGCACAGTACCTACAGTTAACAATACAGTATTGCACACTTCAAAATCTGTCAAGAGGCTAAATCTCATGTTCAGTGTTCTTACCAAGAAGTGTTCTTACCCAAAAGAAAACAAGACAAAACAAAAAATAAACAAAAACAAAAGGACCCAAGGAAACTTCAGGAGATGTTCAGCATATCGATTACCTTGATTGTGGTGATGGTAACATGAGTGTTTGTGGATGTCTGAAGTCATTCAGTTGAGCACATTAACTGTGTGCAGTTCTTTGTATATCAGTGATACCTCAAGAAAGCTGTCAAAAAGAAAACAAGCAAACATAGACTTTAAAAATCAGAATGACTTTGATACTGAAAATTAAACTAAGTCTGTATTTGATTCAGAATCCAACTGCACTGGAGTGAAGCATCTTCTCAATCGCTTCCCTCTTTCATCTGTATGATTGGCTCTGGACTGAAGTTGGATCTCTTCTACAGGCAGTCCAGTGAGACAGCACAGGACTCATACTCCCTTTGGAAGAAAGTGCCGCTGCAAAACCTAAGGAGATGGAGGTCTTTCCACCTCAGTCAATTTGGTAATATAATTCCAAATATTTTTCTGTCATTTCTTTGGAATATGTGTGTGTGTGTGTGTGTGTGTGTGTGTATTATCCTGAACTATCTCATTAAAAGTGAGCAAGTTTCAACAAGTTCTTAGTCTAATGGTTTGTAATAATCATAATTATCTCTGAGAACAACAATCACATGCAATAAGGACCAGAATATTCCTGCTTTAATGTGCCTTATTATTATTTTTTTAATGTAGTTGTCTAACAATGGTGGGATGGAGCCTGAAAAGATAAAACAATAAAAGTTTAACTTAAAGCATTAATATTTCATTTCACCGTTCCCACCTTTTACTGTGGCAATGTGGATGATTCCATGTTTTTTAAATACAGAAATGAGAACAAAAATTGATTTCTCACAATTTTCAGATAATCAGGTCTAGTAAAGTTTGAGGATATTTCATGGAATGTATCGTTAAATATGGTAAGTAGCAACTTTACTTACTATTGCCCGCCAGTTCCTGAAGCAAAGCTGCAAAACCTTATTTGATCCGCTTTGTAAAATCTTAGAGGAGCAAGTGGCTACCATGACTCATCAATTTCTTCAGGAAATAATAGGCATCTTAAGCCTAGTTTCAGTATTTAGATTTCACTAAAACTTCAAAAGACAAGAACTTTGCCCTTGATAGTATTTCACAATTCATTTCATGATTTCCTCTCTACTCCCACTCCCTAAACAATATGAAAATAATGGAAAGATGAACAGGAGGAGCAAATTGAAGTGAATAAATCTCTCTAAAACAACCTTCATCCCCAGTTCAGCCTCAGAAACCAAACATCTTTTTCTTTTCCTTCTTAGTGTTTCCATCATGTGGCCAACAGGACCCTTTATTGAATATGTACATTTTCCAGCACTTTGACACCAAGAACTTTTGGGTTCTTTCAGAAGCCCAGCTTTAACAAATTAAGGTAAAAACATTTACATTGATATTTTCTACAACTTAAAAAAGGGAAAGGTGAAAGCACCACATAATAAAATAAAAGTAATGTTAGTAATTACTACAGGAACTCTGCAAATACAAAAGCAACAAACAAATTCAGGAATATATATTTTCATCACAATGTCTATATAGTGGAAAACATCCTAGTTTGGTTCCCAAATGAATCCCTCTTCAGTAATAAAGACTATTTTAAACTAAACCTTCATTATTTACTCATTTAGTCATTAAAGCATGTTAATAAACACATTCAGACATACATATTCATATGTATATGAATATGAATGTATGTTTTACTAATGATAAATGATAAAAAAAAGCCATGCAATGTAATAGTTTATGCTTAAACTATGACATAACTGCTTATCTTTTCTTTCACAACTGATATGTTTTAAGTAACTAGGTAAGTTATTTATGGAATCTCCCAACCTCTGATTGTTGACTCATGGTGTCATTTAACTTGGTCCTCTATCCTCCGTATTTCCCATAAACTAGAGGTCAGGACTAATGTCTCATTAAATTAAGAATGAGCTTTTTTTGAAGGAAAGAAATATTCCAGGTGGTGCCACACCCCAGGAAGGACATAGCATTAAGTAGTCCCAACAATAGTGATGATGACTGGAAAACCTTGAACAGAGTAAATACTTTTTCCAAACTTTCTTATGTGCAATCATTTTAAGCATCCACTAATAATTTTTACTTGAATGGTTTCACTAATAATTGTAAAATTGTTATTTTTAAGTATAACCTTCTTTCTAAAGTTATTGACTGACATTCTTCTGTTAAAAAAAAATCACCCTTTTCTCATCAGCTGGGTGTGAACCACAGTTCCTTCTGAAAAAGTCAGAGTATGTATTACTTCTTTCCCTTTAATTAACATTTTTCAGTTTGAGAAGCGGTATATTTGTCACCTCCAAGAGTGGCAATTTGTGATAATTTTTTAATGTTACTGCAGATTAATTTTTAAAATGTAATTGGTGTATCACAACCCTTCATGGATTAAAAAAAAAAATTAAACCAAATGCAGTATGTGGATACTGTATGATTCCTAATTTAAAAATAAAGGAAATTTTTAAGACACTGGGAGATTTTAATATGAATTAGATTTTAAATAATATTAGTGAATTTCATTATGTTTCTTAGAGGTTACAGGAAAAATGAGGTAACTTAGAAAAATGCTTTTAGAAGAGGCATGGTTAAATACTTCAGGCTAAAGTTCCATAATGTTTGATACTTATTTTTAATAGTTCAACAATATGTGTGTGAGAGTGTGTGTGTATCCATGTGAATCATAATTCAATTTATAGCTAACATGTAGTTCTTTCAATTTTTTGCTGATAATTTTTGCAATAGTTGGCAAGTATCATGAGAATTGATTTTGCCTAATCGAGCTAAATTTTCTGGAGCACTTAAATGCGAAACATGTGAGTTACACGAAATAAAATTAAGATCTTCAGAACTGATCATCTCTACTCAGGACTAGGGAGCAAAAATGGCTCTCAATTAGCCACCTAATCCTTTCTGGTATTAAAGAGCCTGCATTGCTGGCTTCTTGCCTGTCTGACTTTCATCCTCCCTACGGATTCAAAGAGCAGATTGAAGGATATCCAGAACTAGCTACATAATTTGCAGGGCCCAGTGCAAAATGAAAAGTCAGGGTCCCTCCTTCAAAAAGTATTATAAATTTTGAGACAGCAACAGTAGAGCATTAAGTCAAGTGAAGGGCTCTTCTGAGCTGAGGACCCTGTGTGACTGCACAGACCTCTAGTGATAGAGATGGCCCTAGGGCTGCCTCTTATTTGAGACACTCCCCATGCTTGGGCTGATAAAATTCAAGCTTACTTAAATGCTTCATTAAAATGCTGATAGAAGACAATGTGATCCTCCTTGAGAGCAAAATACTGAATTATTTCCTCTTCATGCTTGAATGTTTGGCGTTATGTTTTACACTTTGTACGCCCTTAAAGAAAGAACAGAGGAGAAGCTTTAGTAAATTTACAAAGGAAGGAGTTTGTCAGGGGCCACCACTTGGTAGATTCATTTCTGACAAATCACTTGAACTCCCATACTCATATTCTTGACTCTTAAAAATAGATAATATCTCTATTTCACAGAGATTTTATGTGAGAAAATATGAGATAACTCTATTGACTTCTTAGAACTAAAATACTTTATTAATACAACTCGTGGTAAATGTATGAATTGCTTGATTGATATACATGGAATCTATATCTACGGTGTCCCAAGTGAGAAGGCAGAAGGAAACATAACCGTGTGACTGGTGGAGATGGCCAAATCCATAACACACATCCTGGGATTCCCTTTCATCAGTGTAACCAAATAATCACAGCAAAATCCAACCCAAATTGCGCTGCCCAGGCTCACACGGAGAAAAACAATACGATTCTTCCTGCAGAAGTAGACAGCAGGAGGCAACGTGACAGAAAAACAACACACTCTCTAGTTACCACTGATTCCTTTTAGTAACTATGAGGTCCTAAGCATGTGATGTAACCTTTCTGAACCTCTTATTCCTCATCCATACAGTGAGCATAACAGATGATATTGTTCACTATGATCATTAGACACTCTACAAGTGCCAAAATATTAGCCTTAGGTTAATGCCATATAAATGGTAGTTTATATAATAATAATAATAACAACAACAGAAACAAAACCAACACCACAACATTTATTACAAGGTTATTTTTCTTTTTTTTCTTTTTCTCTTTTTTTTGAGATGGAGTCCTGCTCCGTCACCAGGCTGGAGTGCAGTGGCGTGATCTCGGCTCACTGCAACCTCTGCCTCCCGGGTTCAGGTGATTCTCCTGCCTCAGCCTCCTTAATAGCTGGGCGTACAGGCACATGCCACCATATCCAGCTAATTTTTGTATTTTTAGTAGAGACGAGGTTTCACTATGTTGGCGAGGATGATCTCAATCTATTGACCTCATGATCTGCCTACTTTGGCCTCTCAAAGTGCTGGGATTACAGGCCTGAACCACTGCAGCTGAACGGTTACTTTTCTTTACAATTGCTGTAGTTTAGATATTTGTCGCCCCAAACTTCATGTTGAAATGTAATCCCCATTGTGGGAGGCGGGACCTAATGGGAAGTGTTTGGGTCCTGGGGGCAGATGCCTCAGGAATGGCTTGGTTCCATCCTCAAGGTAATGAGTGAATTATCCCTCTGTTGGTTCCTGTGAGTGAGACCTGGTTGTTGAATGAGCCTGGCACCTGCTCCTTGTTTCCTCTTGTACCATATGATCTCCGAACATGCTGGGTTCCTTTCCTCCTTCACCTTGAATAGAAGTGGACTGAGGCCCTCGCCAGGTGTAGATACCAGTGCTGCTGCATCTTGTGCATGAGGGAAATACACCTCTTTTCTTTATCAACGACCCATCCTCAGGTACTTCTTTATAGCAACACAGACTAAGACAATAGTGAACAGAGAACAAGAGCACTAGACCACATTGTCCACCAGCTCTCACAAGATCAAAACTTTCCCCTTGCTTTCACCTTCTCTTCATGCTTTAAATTTCTCTTAAAACAATTTGGCTCAACAGAATTAATACTTTTCTGGCTTTCTCTTGTCTTATGGGTACCTGTGTTATCCTGTTGGTGGTTAAGGAGCTGAAGTTCCTGGGTCTTATTCATGATTCCACTAGGTAATGCTTGCTAGAATTCTTGTTAATGTCAGACTTAATTTAGCTCAGTAGTTTCACAGTTCAGACAGTGATTATGGTGGTATTTT